AATCGTTTGCTCAAGTTTGTCGAGGAAAATAACATTCTCTTTCCGGAACAGTTTGGGTTCAGAAAGGGGCACTCCACCAATCACCAGCTAGTGCGGGTGATGAATAACATCCGAAGTAACAAAGCTGTATCCAAGTCCACAGCCATGGCCTTGTTAGACGTTGAAAAGGCGTTTGACAATGTTTGGCATGATGGACTTGTGTACAACGATGCCTTAACGCCTTTGCTGATTATGCCACCACGTGGAAAATCAAAATCAATGCCTCCAAAACACAAGCGATCATGTTCCTCCATCGGCAATCGCCCAAACTGAAACCGGCTCCATCTTGTACTGTAATCATGGATGGCACTAGGGTTGAGTGGTCCGCCGAAGTAACCTATCTCGGGATGTTGTTCGATGAAAAGCTCCTCTTCCGTTCGCATGTAGAGAAAACAGTAGTCAAGTGTTCTGCCTTGGTTAGGTGTCTGTATCCGCTGATTTGCCGCAGATCTCGCCTCTCAAGGGTAAACAAACTGGCCGTCTACAAACAAATCATAGCACCTGCGATCCTCTACGCAGCTCCGGTGTGGGAATCATGTGCACAGACTCACAGGAACAAAATTCAGCTCGCTCAGAATAGAGTGCTGAGGATGGTTCTTGATCGTCCTTTCGACACTAGAATAACAAATTTACATGAAGAGGCAGGCATTGCCAAAATAGATTCCCAATTAACGAAATTAAGACTAAATTTGCACAAAAATGTAATTTATTAGAACATGCTTTGATAAGCAATTTGTATATAGTAAATTAGGTGTATATAGTAGTTGTAGGTTAGTTGTAGTTGTAAATAGTAGTTATAAGTAGTCTCCTTTTTCAAATTTAAAACAAACCAATCCCACCAAGGTGGTCATTCTTAAAACAGGCCTGATAGGACTAGCAACTGTAATTAATAATAATTGAAATTTAAAAATAACTAAAGTTGAAAAGACGCATCTGTGTCACTTGAAAAGTAATACATGTAAACCACACAACTCATTTTCGCTTCGGACGGCGGGTAAGCAGGTAGCAGCAGCAGTAGCAGTAGTAGCAGTAGGAAGGGGGTTCCTGTCAAGCCCGCAGAGTTCGAGTTTTGCACCTCGAACTTTGCGCATCGTTCCCGTCGAGATCATTGACTGCTGGTAGTGGCGTCGCCTCGATGGCGCAAGCGCTCCTTGCCTGAATGATAACTACAAATCTCGATTTCTTTTTGGAAGAACATATCAGCTTTTGTAAACAGCGCATTTTATCGTCGGTTTGGCATAACTAATAGCTCGCCCCACATACTAACACCGCTGACAGGTTGGGAAAATTTCCCCCTATCTGATGGTAGTACTAGCATGCGTGGGCGAGCTACCAGTTACGACAAATCGACGATCAAATGCGTTGTTTACAAAAGCTGATACGTTCCTTCGAAAAAGTAATCGATAAATACTTCTTGGGCTGTGTACCAATTGCCGAGTTACATTTAACTCGTGGTTAAACGTAACATTTCGAAAATGCCGGAAATTGATCAGTTTTCAAACAGAACTCAGCCACGGTTACCAAAATTTAACTTCTAGTCGGTCCGAAATAACCACGCTCGTATAGCAGGGTTATTCGATAACTCATCTGCCACTTTTAACCACGAGTTAAATTCAACTCGCCCATTGCGACACAGCCTTGGGAGTAAAATTAGGGCCATCCATAAATTGCGTATATTTTTGACCAATTAATCCCCCTTCCCCCTCGGAGCCTGTTTTGCAATACACCTAATACATGGAAGGTCCCAACTTCTGAAACCCCTCTCCTCCCTCAACTACTACGTTATTTATGAAAGTTCCCTAATCATTGGGCAACACTGAAAATCAGCAGCACACACCACACAAAATGGGTTGGACATTTATGCGAAATTTCGGTATTGATAGTCAATATTTCGCGATCAGAACATTTTAGCTTAAAATCCCTCCATTTAATTCTCGGTACATCTTTAATCTATTGATTGAATTAAAACAAATTATTAATATGGTTTTTTAAGATTTCGTGCGTTTTGTGAACGCACATTCATTATTTTGCATAAGAAAACGGGAACGGGGTGTTTTTGTGGTGATAAAAAGGATTTTCCTACACATATTACAGTTGTCTGTACCAAGCACTAAAATTATCAGACGGTACTTCTATTTATACTTTTAGATTAGCTATGAAAGTCCTTCCTACTTGGACAATTATGCTATAAATAGAACGGTTTATACAACCCCAGTTTTTTTTTTGCACAATTCTTCAAGTAGGAGGGACTTGCAATGCTTATCTCTTAGCATAAATAGAGGTACCGTCGAGTTTTTTTTTTCAGTGCTAGGTTCTGAAATTCAACAGTGAGCGTTCAAAAGGGCCTACTTGTAATGTTCGATTCTCTTCATCGATTTTCTGTTTACAGCTGAGCGAAAAAATTACTGCTGTTATTTGCAGTGACATGTATCGGAAACTGCACACAATCTGTTTTCCGTTAATTGTTCACAGAGGACACTGCAGTGCAAAACATGCCTGGTACCGCTATATATCCATTTAAATTAATATTCGAAGTCCCTCCTTTTTTACACATTCTGCACACAAAATAGCTCACCCCTCACAGAAATTCCCGCCAATTTTTATGAATGGGGCGGGGCAGAAAGTATCTTTTGCGGAGAATATGTAAAAAGGAGGGACTTCAAATGTTAAAGTAAATGCGTCAATAGAGGTACCAGACATGTTTTGTAGCGTCAGGTACTCTATTTTGTAATCTGTGAAAGGGAAATGACAAATCGAGTGTCATCAAAATACATGGCATGTTGAGAGATTGAGGTCGTAAGAGCAAATTTTCTCTCTCAAATTTGAATTTGTTGGCTCTCTGGGGACTGGTAGTAACACAGGTAAAACTGTACGGGGGAAAAATCGTTTTTTTTTTATTTGTAGCTTGTTTAACAATAAATTTGTAGCTTGTTTAACAATAACAATATCCGGGAAAAAAATGAACGACTAAGTCCCGGACTAATTTCTTTAGGCTGTCGTTCACTTTCTTTGAACTGAATAGGCACCGAAAGCGAATTATTCCCACTTCTCTCAATTTCTATATGGGGATTTTTATCACTTCCTACCAGCGCCATCTCTGTGGAAAGTGGTCGGACGAAATGATTAATTCAAGTTGAACATTGCAATAGGTTCTAAGTAACACTGACAAGATTCTCTTCGTCGACTTTCTCCTTGAATCCATTCGGCCCAGGTATTTTCAGCACACATATCGATTAAAGAAGTTTTTATCCAGCATCTAATACGACAAACACAACAAGAAACGATTATGTGCTCAAGTTATTAAGGCTGTGTTCCATTTGGTGAATATTTACTTAAATTTGACAGATGGAAAATTTTAAAATAAACCTGCTTATCCAGCAGACTTATTTCTGACAGACAAGGAATCAATTTGACAGACGCTTTCTCGAAAATCGGTCGATGTACAACAGAGGGATTTTCGAACATCCTAATTTATTTTCGAAGTGTTAAATCTAAGGGAAAATTTTCCAAATGGAACACAGCCTTAGTATTTTTTTTTATTTGTTCAATCGGTAGATAAAAGATGTACCTAGAACTTATTGGAGGGATTCATGGCTAATTGATATCATCTCGATCCACTATGAAATGTTGCATAACATTGATGCAAAATTGTGCACTCCGTTTAGCGTTTTGAAGTTGAATCGCTGAGGAAACCTTATTTCTGATCAATCTCATTAACACATAAAAATTTCAAGAGTACAGATATCAGCACTCACAAAACTTATAATAAAGAAACTGGAACTTCACGTTTGTTTCAGTCCAGGAGTTTCAATTTCATGAGTGATGTCACAACCGTCCAAGATTTGTGTCCTAGAAATATTGAAGTGATAGGGAATATCAGCCATCACGATGGTCATTGTTGGACGCTTCAATGAATCACCTGAAGAAAGCCTTACTCATATCTGATTGTAATCTAGGAACCAAATGTAATAGAATACGTATTCGCATTTTTATGAGGTCCTGAAATTAACCAAGTTTTACTTAGTAGGAAATTCAAAATATGTACACAGGACCGAAATCATAGGTTACTTCTACTGTATTTCAAATCAATATCTAGAAAAAATGCACGAGAATTTCACTACACAGCTTAACGTAGTCTACGTCAACCATGCGGCCGTGTCTTGTACGCAACTCCACCAATTTTTTTAGTTTGTATTTTTTTCTGAAAAGGCAATCCAGTTTCCTAAAACTTTGTTTTAGACATCAATTCGGTTAGATGAGCCGTTTTCGTATTATGATTTATTGAAAAATATCGAATACGCCATTTTGAAAAAGTAGACTTGAATTAAAAATGGCCAAATTCCAGCCCAAACATGGTTCAACAATAATGCAAAGTTTCATGGAATTCTGAGAGGTAATTTTTTGTTATTTATTGCACTATTTGGCCTGGAGCTGCTCCATTGAAAACAGGAATATTGTTGCGACTTTATAGCCAAGATGAATAATAATCGAATGACTCCATAATAAATCGTAATTGATTATTGAACAAGCTCTGCCTTTCGGCAAATCTGTTGAAATTCAACGAAGTCTTAGCCGCCATCCACTCGAGCAACAAAACTGCGGTTGACCATCAGGTGCAACTGCCATGCGTGACCGCACCGGCTCACATGCCCTCGCAGCTTGCGTCCCCCGCCACCCGCCCACCACCGCTGATCTGTTGCTAATTTGATAGACACGATATGCAAATCAAGCTCCATTCAACTGGTTGTTTTCCCTGGTAATTATTCACCTGAATCGTATCTAACGACGGTCATCATGCGATTGAAACTTGTTGAGTTTGCAAAGGGCCTAAGGGTACGCAGTTTTTTGCACTCCAATCCAACTGCGGTAGAGATTTAGGCCCTGGCATCGACTAAGCTTGATACTAATTACGCAAAATTCCAGCAGCTAGTTGGTGTCACCGAGAGCTAGTTGCCATCGAGATGCAGTCCAACGTGCAGCAACTTTGGTCCGTCCCCAGCTGGTTGAGCGATCGTTTTCTCCAGGAAGTGATTCGGAAAGCCAAGGGAGATGGTTCGGTTACGCTGTGCCATGATTGCAAAATTCGACCCGGTGGTAAGGATGGGGTTCGACATGCTAGCGACCTCTTCCGAGCCACGGTTCATTATCGGTCCAAGAAGTTTCGCCAAGAACAAGCGGTTGATTTGATGCTCAAGGTGAATCGTTCGAGAAACGGTGCGCAATTTACGACGGAGATTCAGATCTATCGGGAAATTCTACCGGCAATGGAACAAGCGCTGAAGAACGTCGGTGAATCGTTGGAAGCTCCCAAGTGGGTGTGAGTTTACGTTTTGGTGTTCTAATTTATTAAATTCTTAAATTTCATTTCAGTTACTTCTACTCATACAGCGATCCACAAAATGTGATCATCATGGAGGATTTGTTCCCATCCGGCTGGGTTCAAAGGAATCGTTTGAATGATTTTGATGATGCTAAAGCAGTTGTTATCGTTATTGCCAAATTCCATGCTGCATCATATGTTTCGAACGGAAAAGTTCGTATTTCCAACTTCTACAATCTGGATTATCGCAGAGTGAAACTCATTATCAATAAATTTATCGATTCCTTAAACACTCGACCTGGCTGCAGCCAGATTGGGGCCAAATTGCACACGTTAAAGCCCAGGGTGGAAGAGAAGCTGAAACAGATCTACAGTCCCAGTCGTCAGCACTTCAATGTCTTGAACCATGGAGACATCAACGTGTCCAATCTTTGGTTCAAGACCCACTCCAACAACAGGGCAGCAATGATTGACTTTCAGCGCTGCCACTGGGGCTCACCGGCGATCGATTTGTTGAGTCTAATGGATTTTGTTCTGGATCGTGATCTGAGACGGACCCATAGCGATCGATTGGTTCGAGAGTACTATCAATCGTTAACGGCTTATTTAACGCGAATGGGACTGCGAGGATCACCAATGAGTTTACAAGATCTAGTACAGGAACTGAAACGTTGTGCATTTTTGGGTAGGATTTTCAAACGTATTTGAGCTACGAGATCGACTCTAAAAAAGTTGCATTTTTCTTTTTATAGAATTTGTTCATTTTGCAATGCGGAAGGATTTGGAGAGCGTTAACCGTGAAGACTACAACAGGATTGATACGGGGAATCTTGATGTGGAAATTCAACAAGAGTTGACCGAGATGTTACGTAGAGGAGTTTTGGAATAGCTTGATAAATAAGATTGTCTTTTTTTTTCTTTGTGATTGTCTTTACAGACGGCTTAAGATTGTCTTTATATTGAATATACTGTTTGTTATCTACAGTACCGGATAAAAGTTTTTAACATCGTGATTGTTTTTCCTTCCGGAAAAAGTTTAATAAGGCCGGAACAAATCTCAAATTTTTCTTTTGTCAAGTTGGGGTGAATAAAATAGAAATTCAGTGTATATTTATTTTTCGAGCATCGCTAATTCATTTGGGTATGGATACTAGACTGATGCAAAATTTGAAATTTTCGCTCCACAATGCTCAAACGGTTCCCAATTGGGCCCTGATTAGCCTCCCAAAATTTGAACTCATTTAGCGAGAAACTGACTTGGCATAAACCATTTGAAGTTTATATGGGAATTACTATGGAGAAACCATAATTTCGGTTCATATCTATCTCAAAATTCACCAGTTCACTCTACTTTAGAAAATGATAGCTGAGCTTTTTGAATTTTCTAAGATACAACTTTGTTAAAGACCACTTTTCGATCAAATGTAAGGCACAAAAATTATTAATGATTCAAGTCACTGATGTCTTATGAATATGCTCAATCAACTGTTCAGCAGGCAACATTGGTGTTTATGGCGCGTAGAATAGAGAACAAAAATCATGGCTACTATGTCACACTGCAGAATACAGTGTTAAACACAATACAGTTGATTAATCTTGCCATAAACAATTAATAACTATTTAATTTGACGTTTGGCTGAAAGACGATTTTCTGCAAAGTTGTAGCTGATAAAAATTCCCATAAGAATAGCAATAGAATTTGTTAACAGTACAATATTTAGAAAGGCTAGAAGACAATGAATAAAAAGATTTGTTTTCCCATAGTAATTTCAATATAAACTTCAAATGGTTTGTGACAAGTCAGTTTCTCACTAAATGAGTTTAAACTTTCGGAGGCTAATCAGGACCCTATTTGAAACCGTTTGAACACTGTGGAGCGAAAATTTCAAATTTTGCATCAGTCCAATGGATACTCACTTTGCTAGATTTTATTATGTTGTAGAATATAACCTTGTTCTTTTACAGAATTTTTACTGAAATCGGTACTAGACCGGTACGGCATGTTAGGTCCTGGAAATCGGAAGTGTGACCAAATCAGAAATTCTTAATTGAGGTGACATTTTTCAAGCAGATTCAAAAGTCATCAACACTTTTCTAACTAAGTCTATAAACCTTTCTGTTATGTGATTCAATCCTTTTTAAAGTTGTGAAAGCTTTATTGAAGTGATCTAACACATACCGAACCTATGTTTTAAAAAAAATTGGTTTCGCATTTTCTGGAGTGAGGCCACATTAGCTGATTTAATCTCTTTCCTAAATGAATTCAAGGTTTCCTGCATTGATTCAACTTTTTCCGAACTGAATCTGAACTTGTCAGGACGGGTTTGACATTTTCCCAAGTGAGCCCCAGATTTTTGTTAACTGTTTTGGCATTTGTCAAGGGCACAATCTTGTTTAGCTTTTCTAAAAGTGTAGAGGGTTTCCGATGTGAACCGACACTTTTTTGAGCTTAAATTATCAAACGGAGTCCAACCTTTTCTGAAATGGTCCAATACCTTCCTTATGGAGTCCAAACTTTTCTGTTGAGTGATTGAATTATATTTAATGTTAGTCTGAGCTTTCCTGAAGTGATTTAACCCTCCGTTACTCGCGCTGTTGTACTTTGTACAACACACATGAACTTTCCATTGCCATTTTGTTGCTGTGTTACGAATCGACCTGAAACCAACGAGTATTCCTCAAAAAACTTGTTTTGATCTAAACATGCTAAATTTGGATTACAGTAAACACCTACAAAATGCGGATAATAGAGAAAATGTAAATGGAAACCGCGTAAACTGTGACCATACTACGGTGGATTTGACTTAATTGATTACAACATGGAATATATCGAGGTCGAAACCACATAGAAAGTTACTGTCTCCGACAAAGTTGTTCAGGAGATCATAGCCTTGTGACTGGTGGACAGTAGTTCAGAATTTTATCACTACGTAGCGCTAGCACCCATGTGAAATTCTTGCATGTGATATATCTCGAGATCCTGACCAGATAGAAAGTTACTGTCTTTCACAAAGTTTTTTGGGAGGTCAAAGCCTATTGATTGGTGCTCAATAGTTCAGAATTTACTCACTACGCGACGCTAGTATACACGTGAAATTCTCATATAAAATATCTCGAGTTCCCAACCAGATATAAAGGTACTGTCTTTGGCATAGTTGTTCAGAAGGTCAAGGCCTTTTCGCAGGTGGACAGTAGTTCAGAGTTTTCTCACTGCGCTGCACTACTATCCATGCGAAATTCTCGCAAATAAAATATCTCTAGATCCTGACCAGATAGAAAGTAAATGTATTCGGCATAGTTTTTCAGGAAGTCAAGAACTTTTTGTTGGGTTACAATAGTTCAGAATTTTCTCACTATGCGGCGCTAGTATATATGTGCCTTTCTCGCATATTCAGCTCAAGATCTTGATCAGCTAGAAAGTTGCTGTTTCCGGCAATGTTGTTTAGGGGGTCAAGCTGGTTAAGAATTTTCTCCCCACGTGGCAAGTTTTTCGCTGAGATCCAGCAAAATAAAATACCGAGCTGCTCGGTGGTACCCATCACGGCAAAAAAATCTAAGTGTGTAGGTACATCCAAAGTCATAAAGAAAAGGCCTGATAATATGAAATTATCATCTCTTTCATTAAACCGCTATTCATACGCTGCTAGGAGTGTGACTTCAAATTTATGGTTACATACACCTTATCCTAAATCTAAACGAGAAGAATCTACTCAGTTCGTCTAAAATGTGTAATGTAATGTAAAATGTATAAAATATATACACACGAGTTAGCCAGTCGAGCCATAGGACTATCTCAATCGTGAGATTGTTTTACTCAGTTGTCTGATGAAATTTGCAAAAGCGTAGTTCACTCAGCGCTGAGTAACCAACGCTTCCGATCATAAGCTTAAATGCACCCCAAAATACATGTAATTGTGTTTTGTTCGAAGCTCTCTCATTTTACAACCAATTTTTGATCTCTTTAGGTTATTTGAATGGTATGAATGGTATAGCATAAGGGTTCTATAACTACTTTTAATTTCAAATATGTTTTTCAACTAAATTCTGAGAAAATTAATCATGATACTTCAGAGTAAATTTTGAAAAAATATTGTAGCTTTGAGGATAACTTTTGAAAATTATTTTGAGCAATTTGCCTCTTCGTATTTACATTCAAAATCTTTCAAATGTTCTAAAAAGAACGATAATTGGACGTAAAATGACAAAGATATGGACATAACACATTTGCATGTTTTTTGGGTGTGTGTGTGTGTGTGTGTGTGTGTTCAATCTAACCCCCACTGGCCTGCAGTGGTACACTGAAACCTCCGTTTACAAAGTCTTTTTTTACGCAGTATTCAATTTAGGTCCCTCTTTTTACGAAGTAAATCCCAAATAACGAGGTTTTTTTTTACGAAGTAAATCCCAAATAACGAGTTTTCTTTTTACGAAGTAAATTCCAAATAACGAGTTTTTTTTTGTGATTTTGGGAAACTGGGATATACTGTGAAATACCTCACAATATGGGTATTGTTGGAATCGGAGTGACGTGTAGGGACCGGAAATCGATGTCTGACGCCATTTTAAAATCCAAGATGGCGGCTTCCGGTTACAGGAAAACTTGGATATTCTGCCAAATACCCCCACAATATGGGTATTTTTGGAATAGGAGTGATGTGTAGGGACCGGAAATCAATGTCTGACGTCATTTTGAAATCCTAGATGGCAACTTCCGGTTACATAAAACATGGAAATTCTGCCAAATACCAAACAATATGGGTATTTTTGAAATCGGAGTGACGTGTAGGGACCGGAAATCGATGTCTGACGCCATTTTGAAATCCAATATGGTGGCTTCCGGTAACAGAAAAGCTTGGAAATTCTGTCATACACCCCACAATATGGGTATTTTTGGAAATGGAGTGACGTCTAAGAACCGGAAATCGATGTCTGAAGTCATTTCGAAATCCAAGATGGTGGCTTCCGGTTACAGAAAAATTGGCAAATACCACCACGTCACCCCGATTCTTAAGATACCCATATTGTAGGTTATGTAATATTACTTTTATGTTTTTTTGTAAAAGGAAGCTGCGATATTGAATTTCAAAATGGCTTCAGACATGGGTTTTCAGTCCTAATAGGTCACCCCGATTCCAAACAACCCATAATGTTGAGTATTTGACAGTATTTCCCAGTGTTTCTGTAACCGGATGTCACCATCTTGGATTTCGAAATGGCGTCAGACATGGATTCTCGGTTCTCACAGGTCACCCCGATTCCAAATATATCCATATTGTTGTGTATTTTACGGTATTTTTCTGTTTTCCTGTAACCGGAAGCCTGTTGGGTTTCAAAATGGCGTCAGACATCGATTTATGGTCCCTACACGTCACCCAGATTCCAAAAATACCCATATTGTGGGGTATTTGACAGAATTTTGAAGTTTTTCTGTTACCGGAAGCCACCATCTTGGATATAAAAATGGTGCCACACAACGATTTCCGGTCCTTCTACGTCACTCCGATTCCAAAAATACGCATATTGTGGGGTATTTGACAGAATTTCCAATTTTTTCTGTTTCCGGAAGCCGCCATCCTGGATTTCGAAATGGCGTCAGACATCGATTTCCGGTCCCTACACGTCCCTCCGATTCCGAAAATACCCGTTTTGTGGGGTATTTGACAGAATTTCCATGTTTTCCTGTAACCGGAAGCCGCCATCTTGGATTTCAAAATGGCGTCAGACATCGATTTCCGGTCCCTACACGTCACTCCGATTCAAAAAATACCCATATTGTGGGTTATTTGACAATATTTTCAAAAACCTCTTTTTACGAAGTAAATCCCAAATAACGAGTTTTCTTTTTACGAAGTAAATCCCAAATAACGAGTTTTTTTTTTACGAAGTAAA